TGCGTTGCCAAAAGTCAAGTACGAGATCCTGAATAGCATGGCGCTCCTGGGTGGCGATGGACTCGAGAGGAAGACGCTGTCCGTCTGAGCGCATGCCAAATTGAGCTGGAGGGGCTTTGATGCGACTGATGCGGTCCTTGTATAGCTCTAGTGGTGAAGGAGCGCCGGTGAGGCTTTCGTCACGGTCAATCTTGGGAAGCATGGACGTAAGGCCTAATCTACCGCTAGTCTGCGTGACATATATAATCAAGAGATCACGCAAATGGTTTTTCCGACGGTAATAGGCCTTGACTGTGGCGTGTGACAAGTGCTGGTTGGCTTCTTCGAACTCAGTCTCGTTGGTATCGTCAAAGACACCAATCTCAAAGGCAAGCGTCATGGCATTACCGAGCAGCATCCAGCACATGCGATCGCTACGCCAGCACGGCTCGAGCCAGCTGTCGATGCGCTTGTCGCCCACCTCTTTGTACATGTCGGCTTTGGGGCCTGATTCGTATGGATCGTCGGGCAGAACAAGCTCATCATCATCATCACCGGGCGGAAAATGAAGGGCGCGCGGGTGCCATTCTGTGAGCAGCATCAGGCTCTCGACGGTGCCCAGTGTTCGAAGACCCTTGCGCGACAGAGGGTTCACGTCGGATCCAGGCTGTTGTCCGGCGCCGCAGAATCCGCCACCAAACTGCTCCTGGCCAAAGACCATGCGATCTATCATGCCCTGCAGGTACTTCCATAGCTTCTCGTGGATGAGATACGACCTAGATGTGGCGCCAACACCGCTGGATCCGCTGGGTTGTGAATAGCGAGCCGATATTGTCAGGAGGGTAATGACAAGCATGGGCTCCTCTTTAAGCAGCTTTGCGTGGAAGGCATGGTCGCGGTAGTCTGGCACGACAATGGGAGTGAGGGGGGATAGAAAGGCGTAGAAGTAGTCAATATAAGCAATGGCTTCCTTTGCGGTGAGCCAGCCGGCGCGAACAAAGCGGAACTTGGACCAGGCGCGCACTGCATCTGCAAAAGCGGCTTCGTTGGGGGGATCCGGCAACAAGGGCTGCTGGATAGCAGGGTCGACTGAGGGCTCAACGGTAGGGCGCGAATTTGTGCGGGCATGTGACAGGTTGGGGCGGGGGCTGGCGAAGTTTGTTTGGGAGCCTGGGGTGCTGCCGAGGTTGGGGCGCTGGAGGCTGGAGCTGCTTCCAGTGCGGTGGTGGGCGTTCATGCCGGCAGCCTCGAAGAGCAGGTTGAGGGCGTCATGTCCGCTGTAGACCTCGCCAGCCTGCAGCGTGGCTAGGGTCTCGTTGTTGACCTTTTGGTCTTCTTCTTCATTGTGCTGCGACGACTGGCCGGCGGAAGTGTTTGGGCGGCGCAGAGGCTCGTAGCGACCGATGGAGCCGCCGGGGGTCAAGGGCTGGGAGATGTAGGCGGTTGAGTTGGTCGTGGTGATTGTGAGGGGTTCCTGCAGGCCATCGGAGCGCTGACGCTTGCGGGCATTGCGGATCTCGTAGTCGTCGGCTTCGTCATATTCCTCGCCGTCGTCGGTCTTTCTCTTGCGGCGCGTGGCAGAGAAGAAGCACTCCTTGCTCTCGCGGCGGCAGCGCACACAGGGCGGGTCGTGGGGATTGTCGACGGGGCCGAGATCTAGAGGCCGCGAGGGCAGTATCAGCAAGCAGCAGTGCGCAGGCGGTCGGGTGGTGGTGAGGACATACCGCAGCGGACCTTGCGGCGGCGGCAGGGGATGCAGGCCTGGTAGGTGCGAGTGTGCTGGGCCGTGGCAGAGGCAGTCTGGGAGCGAGCTGGTGGGGATGTGTTGGAGGCAGTCGTGGACATATTTGGTGGTGGACTGGACTGGACCAGACAGTCGTTCGGTCGGCTTGCGACGGCTGAGAGGAGTGGCCGGCGCTGGCAGGCTGGGGCTGTTGAGGGCTGGGCTATGGCTGTGGCTGTGGCTGTGGCTGGTCAATGGCTCCGCATGGGTACCTGCATGGGCCTGGCCTTGGGTATGCGGGGTATGGGTGGGCACACGGTAGTAGCAGTAGTAACGCCGATAGGAGCGTCGTCTTGGACAGTGAAGAATCTGTGTGTGTATGTGAAAGTTGTGCGCAGTGGCTGACTGTACGTACATGCGTGCATGCATCTTTCTATTCACCCCATCCATACACGCCCGCACCAACATACGGCCTCCCACTGGATTGGGAGCCGCCCGCCCGCCCCAGTCACGAGCGCGGGGGGTTGGCAACCACATCAGGCCTGGCGCTGAACACTCGGCCAATCCCACAGAACCGTCTTTGACCTGCAATCCAGTCCAGCCCTCACCGCCCGGGGGGGGGGGGGTGCGCCTATACCTACAAAGCCATTGTACTGCTGCCATGGCAAGCATCTGCTGCTCATCCCATGTGACGCCCTCGTGTACTGTCCCGGTGGTAGTGTACAAATGCCCTCTCTTTATACTCAATTGTCTTCTCCTGGCGGCTCTCCACCGGCAATACTACATACATACATACATACACACACTAGTTACAACATGCCGATTGCCCCGCCTGGGAACTTCTTCTATGCATATGCAGTTACTGTACATGATACTTATTGCGCCTCGGCATTCGGGCAAAGACCATCCCTACCCCGACGAATTAGGAATCTCCGAACAACAAAAATAAGTACTATTAGTGACACCGGGCCGGGTCAGCACGGTACACGCGATAAAACCTTATCGAGTCTTCACCAAGCCATGGGAAACCATAGGATTGGCATCCCTCTCCTACCATTGATTACCGAAGCTGCAAGCCTCAAAATCGAGACGTTTAGCACTAATAAACCACGTTTCTGTGAACTAATCTTTCAGAGGTTACAACTTCGATTGCTATCACTAAATATAGCTCCGGACTGCAAAATTCAATACACACGCTGGCATTGAATTGAGAAAAGATTCTGACTGGGAGATTCAGAGAGTAAAAATGCAGTGATATCGAAAACACGACAAAACACCCAACAATTTGCAAACACATGATTTTGGTATATGAGACGAATAATACTCCAATGCCTATCAGCAACGCGTATCGTTGTTTACACTACACATCCGTACTAGGAAGCAGGGGTGAATGCATGGTCATGTGCACGCGCGGCTGGACCAAGCTCAGATGTTATCAAATGATGGGGCAGACAGCTAGCGTGAGGCTCGTGCACAGCCTTGACATCAACCATCATCCATTGTTGGCACCATAGCTGTGCACTTGCTCACCGTACCTGCGCCCCAAACCCCATCTCCCTTCCTCAGTTCCTCGAGACGACATCTCCCAGAGCTGTACAACCCGTCAGCGACCATCGATCTTCTCGTGACATAACCCCGCATCCAGACTCGACGTGACGTCGCAGACTACTGAGCTTCGCGCCTTGAGTCAATTGCGCGCTTCCTAGTCTTCACACGCTCCACATACCCTTTTCACCATGGCTTCAAGAAAGAAGGTCCTTCTCAAGGTACTGGAGCTTCTCAGAATATATCAGACTACTGCTAATGCGCCCAGGTCATCATCCTCGGAGACAGCGGGGTCGGCAAAACGAGCTTGATGAACCAATATGTACGAACCTCTTCCAGTCCGACTCTCAACCGACAAGGTGGCTGCCCAAATCCTCATCGCAGTGCTTATACAAAGTGACCAGGTCAACAAGAAGTTCAGCGCAAGCTACAAAGCAACCATCGGGGCCGATTTTCTGACCAAGGAAGTCCTCGTTGACGACAGGCTCGTCACCATGCAGGTGCGTATGCACTCGCTGTACCAATGAACAAGAGACTAATGGAACCAAGCTCTGGGACACGGCCGGCCAGGAGCGCTTCCAATCGCTGGGCGTTGCCTTTTACCGTGGCGCCGACTGCTGCGTGCTCGTATACGACGTGAACAATTCCAAGAGTTTCGACACCCTCGACAGCTGGAGGGATGAGTTTCTTGTCCAGGCTAGCCCCATGGACCCAGAGAGCTTTCCATTCGTAGGTGGACATGCACGATACAACAACAGGGCAGTTACTGACCAACGCAGGTTGTCATTGGCAACAAGATTGATGTGGAAGAAAGCAAACGCATGGTGAGTGCGCACTGTGCCCACTATCAGTGAACTGGTCTGATAGAAATAGATTTCGTCCAAGCGCGCCATGGCCTTTTGCCAATCAAAGGGCGGCATTCCTTATTTCGAGACGAGCGCCAAGGAGGCCATTAACGTCGAACAAGCTTTTGAAGGTACTTAGAATCTCTTTTTTCCAAAATTCTGTTTCTAGTAGCTGACTTGCGTAGTCATTGCACGACAAGCCTTGGCGCAAGAAGATGTCGGCGATTTCAGCAACGACTTCCCCGAGACGATCCCGATTGACCTCAAGGGAAATGAGGGTGGTTGCGCATGCTAGTGCACACGTTGAAAGAACGGGCATGGCCGATAACAAGATTAGTGGATATGTTTATGCCGAAACGCCGCCTTGCATGTGGAGTTGATATGGCGTCTGGTGTTTTGGCATACTTTTTGCGGCAGAAGCATTTTCTGCAACGTATTCTTTTTGACGGATTTCATCGTTTGCGAGTCTATGTAGCTGCATATACTAAATACACAATACAAATACCTCGGCTATACAAGCATTGCAGGTGATGTCGACAGTTGATAGAAAAGCACGACCGCGTGACTTGGGCCGAATAGCCGCATCGGCGTCGGCAAGCCACACCAACCGTAGGTGGCTGTAGCGGGCCGTGACCACGCCCACCTGAGACAAGAAGGCTAATGAAACCCCCGAATGGACGCAATACTTCGCATCTGTCCGCGTGTCCCTCCGAAGCACTCCGTGCAACTTCACCTGCCCACCTCCTGGCGTCCGCTCGTTCACTGATCAATTGATGGGCACTTGGATCTTGTTTCATGCGTCAACGCAATCTCCAACCCTGACTCCGTTTATCCCCGAAGACCCTCCCTGACCGACTTGCGCAATCACACGAGCACACCCACCACAGCCTATACCACATCTCTCCACCATGATACCCCGGCGAGAAGAGCTTGTCGAACCAACGTCCATCAGCCCGCGCGTCAGCGATGTCTCTGACGAGAGTGCATTTATGCGATCCCAAGACTATCTCGACAGTCCCGCGACCGAAGCCAGCCAGTGGATGGATGGGAAGGATAACATGGGAGCATGGTCAGCCAAGGTCAGACACGCCATCGGTATAGGATTTCTGCTTGCGACCGTGTTTCTATGGACTGCGAGTAATTTTCTGGCAAGCGTACGTTGCTCTTCTACATAATACTACATGTCGCATCGGCAAGGCATCTCGACTAATGTACGAACAGACTATTTTTGCAGACAACTCCTATTCGAAACCCTACTTCGTAACCTACATAAACACATCCTTCTTCATCCTCCCGCTACTACCTATGCTCATGCACTGCCTATGGAGCGACTACCGCCAACCAAACACTGCGCGCCAGCTTCGACAGCCGTTTCTCACACACATGTATAATCTCTTGCAACGACGAACAGGTAAATGGACACTACTCCGCGAGCACGAATCTAGCTCTTCCTTGGTACCTTCGCGCGAGTCCAGGAACGACGAAGCGACCGAAGTATTGCTCTCATCATCAGCCCCGGGATCCCTGAATCTGGGTAGCGGAAAAGATGTGGGACATGCCACAGACGAAGGATTAACATTACACGATACATCCAAACTAGCTCTCGAGTTTTGCATCCTATGGTTTCTGGCAAATTACTTTGCCGCAGCTTGTCTCAAGTACACGACCGTCGCTAGCTCCACCATTCTGTCATCCACATCGAGCATCTGGACGCTCCTGCTCGGTTCCATAATGCGCGTGGAGCGCTTCACCATGCTCAAGCTCGTCGGTGTTCTCGCATCCCTGAGTGGTGTCGCTCTGATATCCCTGGTTGATGTATCCGGCGACACGGACGAAAACCGGGGTACCTTTCCACACAAAACACCACGCGAACTGGCTATTGGTGACGTCATGGCATTTGTCTCTGCAGTTCTCTACGGCTTCTACACGGTGTTTATGAAGGCCAAAATCGGTGACGAGACGAAAGTCAATATGCCGCTTTTCTTCGGGCTGGTGGGGTTGGCAAATGTCGTGCTTCTCTGGCCTGGTTTCATCATCCTCCACCTTACAGGTATTGAGGAGTTCGAACTTCCGCCTACGACGCGCATTCTCAACATTGTTCTTATAAATAGCGCATCGTCGCTTGTGTCGGACTTTTGCTGGGCCTACGCCATGTTCCTCACGTCTCCTCTCGTTGTTACCGTTGGTCTCAGCCTGACGATTCCGTGTTCCTTGGTAGGCCAGATGCTGCTGGATTCGCAGTACGCGAGTGCTCTCTACTGGGTGGGTGCCGCCATCATGGTACTTTCATTCCTCTTCATCAATCATGAAGATAGAAAGGATGAGGTGCAGGGTCCAGCGGATACGAGCGCACGCGGTAGTTTTCAGAGTGTGCGGCAAAGTTTGAGTCGGCGGAACTCCAGGTCGCAAGTTTGAACATTTTGTTTTGTTTTTGAGAGCATTTTGCATTTGCATTTATCGCTGTTGCCGTTTGATTCCAAGGCACGGTAAGGGTGTTGGTTTTTTCTTTCTCAATAGATACATATGGTGTAGGGTGGGTATATGCCATATAACCTTCTCGTTTCATTTTCTATTCGCTGAATAGATATCGAACAATATCATTATTATACGAGTAAGGTTGTTCTTGCCATTCCTGCTATTCCTTCTTCCCACCATCCATATTCTTGGAATAATGATTCCGCGAGTACTTGCCTTTACCCTTGTTCCACTTATTCTTGCCGCCCCCACCACCACCCCGATAGCTCCTCTCGCGATCCTCGTCTTTCCTCTCACTCAAACGCTCCTTTTTTTTCTCCTGCCACATATCGTCATCTTCTAGCTCCTCAGCCTCCCACCCTTCTTTTTCCATGAATTCTTCCAGCTGCTGCTGTAGCTGCGGTTCCCATTTTTCTGCGGACTCGAAGTCGGAGAGTTCGATCACGTTTTGGCCGAGTGTATAGGCGCCTTGGCGTGAGCGGATTAGCGAGGACATGAGGCCCAGGGAGGAGCAGGCGAGACCTAGGTCGTGGCAGAGGGAGCGGACGTAGAAGCCCGATGTGACGGTCATGCGGAGCCGGGCTGCTGGAGGTTGTGGTGGTGGTTGTGTAGATGTGGTTGGGTCCTCGTTTGATGATTGTACCTGATTTACTACTTCTGCCTTCTCGGATGAGGGTTCTGGCTTTCCCTCTGTTGGTAGTGATGAATCAGTAGCGGTTCGTGGAGTCACATCCTGGATTGTCTCAGCTGCCTCCGTTGGGGTCTCTTGTGATGGCAAAGCACCAGACATGGCTGGCTCCGTCTCTGACTTGGGCATCTTTGGCTGCTTCCCGGCGCCTTCTACACTATCGTCCTCGGGCGAACGCGATCTTTTCCGCCCCTTCCGCGCCATGGTATTGGCATGGATCTTTGCATCCACCTCTCTAATGCCAAGTAGCTTTTTCGCGCCTTCCATCTCGACACCATCGACTTCTTCCTTTGGCCACGCGTACTCATGGCTTCCTGGTTCCAGCCACTCAACAAGCTCCAGCTCCTCCACTTCCACGGGTCGCGCAGCTACCTCGGGTATCTCCTTACCCTCTCTTGCGTATTCGTACATTTTCTTGCCATCGACCTTGAGCGCTGAAAAGACACTTGGCTTCTGCATAATCTTGCCACGGAACTGCGCCAGTTTCTCTTCTACCAGCTCTCTTGTGACATGTTCGTATGGCGCCTTGCTAACTACCTTTCCAACGGCGTCGTAGCTGTCTGTAGCAGCACCAAATAGCACGACGCATTCATATGTCTTTGTGCATTCTAGAAAGCGTTGCAGACACTTTGTGCCTCTTCCCAGCCCGACAATCAAGACACCGGTAGCCATAGGATCCAGGGTACCGCCATGACCAAGCTTTACTTTAAGATTATTGATATGCTTCTGTTTTGCGTGCGACAGAATCAGCGACCGTTTTTGGTTCTCAAGCCAAGGCGCAAGGAGCGAGGAACAAGCAAAGTGCTCTTGCAGGTCGCGTAGCACGCCGGCTGAGGAGGCCCATTGCGTTTTGTTGACGGCGAAGATGCCCTCGAGCACCTTCTTCCTGCTCTCTTTGGGGGGAGTGGCCATGACTGTGGCTGCGCGTTTGATCGATGATGCGACGGACATCAACGTTGGGAGGAAGGTCAGCTCGAAAGCTCTACGCGCGCAGTGAAAGCCTCCTGATCGTTCTTCTAAGAATAACGCAACAAGGCGAGTATCCGAAGTATATGGCAGAAGTATAACAATATTGATGATGATTCGTCACTTTCCCTGCAGTTGTCCCGCAACCACGGTTGTTGTTGCACACCGTTGACGCTGTCCAGTTTTTTAATACCGAAGATATGGCGTCGGAAGCTATAATGGACCCAGGCCTAAACGGGTATAGCGGCTGCCTAAGAATCCCTGCAAACACAAAAGGCGCGTTAGTGGAAGCGCTAGTGCGCATCTCTCTCATTTGCCCGCCTAACCCTTCCCTTCTCTTATATAATACTGTGGCTCTCCATCGTCGCTCGGGCACATACACTACTAAAACACCGGCAGTTGTCGCATCACACTGCCAAAATGTCAGGCAATAGAGAACTGGAGGATCTTGCAAAGTCCTCCACGGATGACTTCTACAAGCTACTAAACGTAGCCTTTGACGCAGAAGCAGACGCCATCCAGAAAGCGTACCGTAAAGCATCTATCAAATACCATCCAGATAAAAACCCCGACGACAAGAATGCTGCTGATCGCTTCATTCTCCTGGGATGGGCACGCGATATTCTGATTGACGAAAAACTTAAAGGCGAATATGATCGCGCAAGAGCGAGGCGGCGCGAGAAGGTGCTGCAGGACGAGATGCTGGATGGTCGGCGACGCAAGCTGAAGGAAGATCTTGAGAGAAGGGAGAAAGAGTATCAAGATCAGAAGTCTGGTATCAAGAGAAAGGTTCCTGAGGACATGACCGAGACTGAACGGAAGCTTCATGAAATACAAAAAGGTGGCAGGAAGCGTTACCACGAAATCAATGAGCGCCTAGAAAAAGAAGCCCAAGAAGAGCGAGAGGCCTATCTCGAGGCCATGAGGAAGAGGTCAGAGCCGCAGGGAACCCAGCGGAGCGAATCTTCCGAAATGACTCGCGCTGTCAAATTTGAGTTTCCGCGGGAAAGCGATGGAGAGCACTGGGACCAGGATACGCTTGCAACCATGTTCTCAAAGTACGGCGAGGTGGATATGGTTGTCCTGCTCAAGGACAAAAAGACCCGACATGCTGGAGAAAAGCATCGTACAGCTTCAGGCATGATAGTTTTCACACATATCGATCACGCCTGCGCAGCTGTCATGAACGCCAGATCCGATTACCCTTCCCTCAGCTCTGTGAGCTGGGCAACCGGCGAACCCGAGTCCGTCGACAAGGCGTCCGCCAAGGCGTCCGCCAAGGCGTCCGCAAAAGATCCCTTGGACGAATCAGAGCGTCTGGAAGTGTTGGCCAACATGCGGTCGGACGAGTCAAATAGTACGTGGACTGGTGAGTGGGTGGCTGCTGGAAATTGGCAAGGCAAACCGATCATGATACCCAAGCCTTCGTCCTTTCCAAAAAAGCAGAAGCAGAAGCTTCATGCGGATAGAATGGACGTAAATTGAGAGAACTTTGGACAAAAGGAATGTATTGAGATAGATGATGGACCGACCAACCTGCTGATCGAGATTAATGGACCGAATCAGTATGTACTTCCAAACCAAGCCTAACTCCATTCGGTGATCCATCGCAGAGAGCCATATGCATGAGTAACTACAGTAGATTCGAGCACCGCCGACCAATGACGTACGTATAGGATATGATTCGGATATTACCTGAGCATAGTAAAAGACGATGTGGGGCCATTCTGAAACGCAAATAGTGGTCTTACTAATCATTGGCGATAGTTAACTAGTTACGAAGGTTCCAAAGCATGTTCGAAATAGGCAGCCGTGTCGCATTGCATGGGCGTCGCAACCTGACTCGAGAGTGCTGCTGGTCTACTGCTTGGTCTGAACCATTTCTGAACGTAGAGTTTCTAGGTTTGGTAACACTAGAAGCAAATTTTCAATTCCGAATAGCTCAGATATGGAAAGCACAAGTGATTTGCGTTCAATTACGTGAATTCGAAATGACCATGCCAATATAATAGACCGCATTCAGTAATAGATCCTGTTGTCGGCTTCATGCCCAAATTATAAGACCATTATCTTGTTGATTCGCTGGTGCTGTTTTTTCCTGGATCCGTCAAACAACCCCATTCGTCCCTCTGTTTTCTACGATTGAAATGCAGTATGTATTTTTTCCGGACTCCTTTCTTTAAGCGGTTTTTTTCAGCAAGAATAAGTCGTTCCATTCAATTGCACAATTTTCTGCCACAATAGATGGCCTGATACTACCACCTCTGCGTAAGATTCTCCAATCTTCACTTTGTGAAGCAGGCACAAGTTAGATAATTGTTCAAAATAGCAGACGTACCAGTACGCACCAACATAGCACGCAAGGGTGTAGCTCCTGGACCGCAGAAGCGAATTCCAGGAGTATGGGGATCATAATGGAGAAGGTTCTGGTAAGGTTGGACTGACTGTCGGTAAGGAGATTGCATGCATAGTTATCTTCACTGTACAAGAACGGTCACGCTGGCAAGCCGGCCCTGGAGCCTTAAATTCAACAGCATTAGCACTGGAAATCCTGCATGCTCTTTGGTTGATTCTTTTACGGCTGTGATGTCTGGGGAAATGAACGCCTATATTTGGGTCCACATATCCGTACAATTCCTGCCGTTTCTCATCGCGGTGAACCCAGTCTTGCATTGAATCCCAATCTCATATCAAAGCAGCTGCATAAAGAATGAGGGGCCTGCGCCCAAATTTAAAACATGACGTACGACATGATGGGAAATGAAATAACGTTCAAGAACATAGAAGCATCGAGCGGCCATGCCAAGTTAAAAAACTTGATCGCTCCAGAGCCAGTCTTAGCCTATGTAGTGCCCAGCGTCGATCTACTCCCTTATTTGCATTGTGTGTGGCCAGGAAGTATTATCGTACGAAGATAGGAAAACCAAAGGATAGTGGTTCTGATGTACTACTGACGTCATCACGTGTTTCGCGATGTCTCGAGGGTGAATCACAGTGAATCGCGGTGAGTGACGACGATGACGCCGCGGTGACGAGTATCAGGTGAGCAAATAATTGCACGTTTTGTTTGTGCGACAATCCTACCTATTGAGATAAAAAGAGCACCTGCTTGACGCCCACCTCCTCCATCAAGACGAGTGAGCAAGCAAAAAGCAAATATCTTTTTGTGCCTTTGTCGTAACACAATCTCAAAAGCTTCACAGCCAAATTAACGATGGCCCGTCACCAGCACCCAATCGATGGTCCCGCCGACTACCCCGTTGCAGACAAACGCGAGCAAACTGGTCTTCTCACGCGCTTCGTGCCCGACAGATTGAAGACGACGGCCTTGTACCGCTGGCTCTTGCGCCTCACCCGCCTCCTACAGTTCATCTCGTCCGTAGTTTCTCTCGGCATTTTCAGTCAGCGCCTGTACAAAGTCTACCGACTAGTCAACAGCATCAAAACTCGACGTGGCGTCAACGGCGCATACGGTGCTGTCGAAGGCATCCTCGCCGCCGCTGTGCTGTACACGCTCCTCACTGTGCTTCTCTCGTGCATCAAGAAGTCTGCCAACCCTGGAGGAAGGAAGCTACGATGGCTCTGGGTTCTCCTCGATCTACTTTTCGTCGGAGCGTTCATTGCAGTCGCAGTGCTGACCCGTCCAAACGGCGGCCGCGCTGGCGCCAAACACTGCTATAACCCTAGGCGTCTAATCGGCGTTAATAGCTCGAGTACTATCACCGGCGAGACGGCGAATAGACGCGACGATTCTTGCAACCTACCTTGGGGCACATTCATATTAGCTATCATTAGCACGTAAGTTTTCGCTTTGACCCTTCCTTGTTTTGGTTTTTTACTGACTGATGCTAGGTTTCTTCACGCACTCACTGCCGCATTCCACGAGATCAAGGATTATCGTCGCAGTAACAGGCTTGACCACGAGAAGAACCTCCAGAATCAGTACGCCACTGGACAGCCTGGTGCGCCCGATGGTGCGCCCGCCAGTTCGCATACTGCTCGTTATTAAGTGTGTGACGGGAATGATCTAAAACGTGCAAACGTAGCAATGAAGGAAAAGCATAGGCGTTCGAGTTCTTTATGATATACTTAGTAATGGTAAACTCATAAGTAATAGTTAATAAGGGAGAATATCCACGTATAATACACATCTTTGAAATTCCACAATTAACCTGCACTTCGTTCATCTGCCAAAACATATCGCGTAGATTATGCAACTGATGCTACCCAAAACATGTGAACAGGACATCAAATCAGTGCAAATGTCTAGGGCGAAGTATGTTCATGCATACGTAAGAGTGATGTAAGCCTCAGTGTGATTGGCCGCCTCTTCTACTAGAATCGGGTATCCGGCAGCAATTGATCGACTAGTATTATGAGTGACGATAAACGGAAAAAAACAACTAGGGCAAAGACCTAACACAGGATTTGATTGGACTAAGTAGATTGCAGTTACTATTATCCTCTCACACGATAAGAGTTACCCGGTAAAGCTATGGTATACGTAAGCATGCTCATAAATTCTCCCCTCCTTTACACGATCATCAATAATATTGGCGCGCAACGGAGGGTTTCCCGGCAAGCTCACAACGAAAACCATCCCAATTATCAGACAGCTGTAAGCACTTACTAATCCAAATGGGCCAATGAATTCTGCTCTGATTTAGTCATCAACAATGCCAGCAGTTGGGTTCGAGAAGCAATTAATAGCCTCTACGAAACATGGACAAACAGGATGCTGGCGCACAGGAGATTCTTGACGCTCTAACAAGCTTGGAAACTCAGTTAAGCGAGATCATCATTGATTTATCTTTATCGTGCTGATTATCTCAGAGTCTTTTTATAAGGGGTTGAGAATGTGCGATTCTAGCTACCGATATGAAGATGTAATGTTATTCTATGAAGAGATGAATAGATACAGACGTTGTTTGCAATTGACGAGCATCCCCGTTACTCGAATGAACCATAAAATACGGCCACTGGCGACTTCCCATTATCAACGTAACTATTCATTACAAAATCTCGTGCTCAAGTGTTTTCGGACGAAGAGGCATAGCTACTGCTCTATTGAAACAACTGAAACCTCGAGTCCTTCCTCCTCGGCACAAGGTATAATCTATCAGTAGTGTATATCTGGATCCAAGAAAACTCCTGGCCTACCACCTGCGTGATTGATAATTTCCTCAAACGTAAACATGTTTATCCTGATGTAAAAGTCTATAACAGCTGTCGTTGGCATAGTTATGCATCCGAAGTTCCGCTGAGGGCCACAGCGAGTATTCTTTGGTACAGCAGCAACAGGGTCGTGATTCGCGTCCACAACCTTTACCACGCATAAGTCAAGATCTTTTAGCACTTGAGAATTGGTTAATAGAAATATAGCAGTATTTCTATTACGGGTTTGAGTCCCCCTCATCGGCTGACCGCCACTTCCTTCTAGGTAGACCTGCCGGATATCTTACAGTGTCCGTCCGTCCAAAGTAGCGGGAACAGAATGCGTGTCGAGCCGAAATCGATCTAGTGCTTCCATAACAGCGTCAGGATCTTCTTCCGTCTCGAGTTTGGTGAGTCCTTTCTTCACTCCGTCAGTGATATTCTTGAGCAACTTTGACTACTGTTCATCCGATCCATGGCCATAATATGTTCTATAAATTGTATAGCCCCAGTACTCTAGGAAAGGCTCATGATCCTCCTCCTGCTCGACTTCTTGATGTACGGCAAGATGAAGGCCGTGGTCCAAAAATGCTGCGATAGTTCGCATAGCGGTAGAAATGATATACTCAGGATGGTCGGTACGAGTTTATATGGGTGAGTGAGTGTTGGCAGGAGCGTTTCCCTCTTTATACCGGCCACATCGGTGAATACAAAGGGATTAGTAAAACCAATCCTTTGTGCACGTTGAGACGATAGGGTAACTGTTGCCTGTGCCGCTGTGCGCTAGCGCTGAAACTCTTACCTTCGCGGCTTCTCGCTTAGTGTCATTGAAGTCTGCACCGGGACACCCGCGATTAGTTGCCGGGCCACGGCCGGTGAATTGGTGTAGTAGAGCACGCCAAGCGCTTTGGTCTTTCTATGTAATATGCGCATTGTCGTCGCCACACTACACAAGGCCTCTATCCCACAGCAGACTACTATCTCGGCAACTACTTCTCGGCAATACCGACTTCCCTGAGTGAATAAACTAGCCCCATACTGATTTCCCGCGCGATATCCATCTACAAGACCCAGTTGCTATACGAAAGCGAAGACAAGGATGATTTTGTTTAAATGCGTACGAAACTGGAACCTAGGAGGCCGCTGGATCATGACAAGTCAACGCGCTCATTCTCATCATGTTGCGCGGGCGTTACTTCCTAGTAGATGCACCCGGCGATAAGACATTTGATCATTTTGCTGATTCATTCAGATCTGAATCATGGCCAAGATCTATTCAACTTTAACTACCCGAGGCCGCTTCGTAAGCAACGAGAAGCAAGAAATGTCACAGCGCCATGTGTGCTTCAACGTCAATGAGCTTGCACTCCGCGCGGCAGAGGTTGTTGGTGCAAAAATATGCGTCAACATTGCAAAGTACCGGGATAGTATGTACAACAAGAGTATGTTGTTAACTATGAATGATGACTCTCGGGTAGTGGCCAAAGTTCCGAATCCAAACGCTAGTTTACCTTATTGGACCACTGCGAGCGAGGTTGTGACGATAGATTTCGTAAGTTCCACCAGCAGGCTTTTGGTTTTTGTATCTTGCTTACGTACAGATATCAGGTCCGCAACATTCTTGACATCCCCGTCCCCAAAGTCTTGGCTTAGTGTTCTCAGGCTCATGAAGATCCGGTTGGGGCAGAATACATCATCATGGAAGAGGTTCCAGGGGTGCAACTAGAGCAGGTCTGGCCGAAAATGAGCATAGAAGATAGGTTTGCTATTGTCCGATCAATCGCTGGTTTTCAGCAAGTCTGGACTTCAGTCGCTTTCACAAGATATGGAAGCTTGTATTATTCAAAAGACCTAGAAGATACGCCCAGTAGCCAGCCGCTCTATATCGACGCACATGGTGGTCACACAAAAAACAAGAATCTTGCTATTGGCCTGTCTGTAGCACGTGAAATATTTGATAACAGAAGAGCAGCCATCAATTTCAATAGAGGACCATGTAAGTAGGCTACCGAAAAAGACAATTTTTCAATTCACAATGACAAGGGGATTCTCTAGAAGCGTATCATCGCGCCATTGGACAACGCAAAATAGTGTGTATCAATCAGCTTTCCGAGTTACCCAAATCTCCGATAACCCTGTGCGGCCCGGGAACCTATCAGCCAATGAAAGAAAAGAAGGTCAAGGCTTTACACTGTTACCTCGATCTCATAAAGCAGACCCTTGCAGAAGATCAAACGATATCGTCCGCACATCTTTGGCATGATGACTTGCACGTTGCTAACATCTTCGTCGACTCCGCTGAGCCTACCAAAGTTGTGGGCCTTATAGACTGGCAGTCAGCAGAGATATCTCCGCTCTACTTCCATGCCCGGCAGCCTCAAATTATTAACTATGTTGGTCCACCAATCAACGGTCTTGAACGACCACAGCTTCCGAAGGACTGGGAAGAATTGGAACCGTCCAAGAGAGAGGCGGCTAACACACTATATCTATAGCAATCGCTCTGTTTGTTGTATCACACTCTCATAAATCACCAAAATCCTCGGATTTATGCGGCTCTCCAGTTCCAGAATACGGAAAAGTACTTATTTCTATTGTTGGCACGTAACCTCCTCATCGATGGCGAGGCGCTCTATCTTGCCAGGATAGCCGAGCTTGAGCCAACTTGGAATGTGTTTTCAGGCAAAGGAGATTCAAATTACCCATTCGCTTTTTCAGACAAGGAAAGAGAGGAGCTCAAGGCTGATGCTGAAGGTGCGATACAAGGTATGGAAGCAATGAGTTCAATAAGAGAGAGCTTAGGAGATTTACTCCCTGAGAAGGGCATTGTGAAGCCAGATAATTATGAAAAAGCACCGGACGCCTTGTCACAGATGAAAGATCAAGTGATTAGTGCATTTGTCACCAACGCGAAGAAAAGGAAGGCTTGGGAAAAGGCATCGCCGTTTGGGAATTAACTCGATTGGCTTAGAAGATAGCACAAAGAATCACATTCAAGTTTAAGTTGTCAAGACTTAGATAATTCACAACCTAATTTGCTTGCAAGTTCTGAGTGGTCTATTTGCCAACTACTATACTGACTTTCCTCTTGTGGCGTCAACGCGCTGGAAAGAGACAAGTGCTGGGGCCAGAGAGCCGTCATATATCCACCATCATCATTCAGTTTGAATTGGTGATACGAAGGCAAGAGTAGCTGCAGATACTAAGAGCCTCAGATCAAAGATCATGGCCTGGTAAAATTGAAAAGTTACAGCTTATAGGGTCCAAAGCAGCGAGGTGAAGAGTGATACATGTAGCTACGTGATTTAGACTATCTAGATATGCAGTTGCATCAGGTGAGATACACATCGCTATCTCCAATGCGCATTCGCCTGATGTCATGTGTCTGTTTGAGCTGAGTGTTGTGAGTGGGTTGCCCTGTGTAGACCTATCAACTGAGAATAATTGGCGCTCAGCCTTATGCAATAACCCTGAAAGGGATGTAAGGATGAAAATTTTCTTGTCTATATCCTTGTTGTACTGTTCAGCTCCTGCAAGCCCACACTTTGTCAAACGCCACAAATTGCACTAGCATCCCGTAAGCGTACTAGCCAGCGACGAGCCGCAGCCTTGGCAATAAAAGAACGAGATATTGTGGAATAGAACGACTAAGGCCATCCATTCTACATTCACAATTCCTTTGATCCTTCAAAGCCATTCGTATATCCACCATACTCATTACCCGGCGATATTAATACGGACTACAGATCAGGCATTCTACTTATTGGATATGTAAGCCGTTGATCAAGTTGGGCCTCGGTTGAGTTCTAAATTGGAATGGTTTTCTTCTTGAGATATATGCATGCGGTAACCATCCGTTCACTTCGGTTTATATAGCCAGCCATAAAGTATTCCTCCTTGGTAATCACAATTACAACCCAGGTTCTAAACAAATATTTTGCCAAGAATGATCAACCCACTTAGTCTCCAAATGCTTTCCTTGGTCCTGACCACGCATGCAACTGGTAATACATTTCTGAAGCGAGCTAGACGGAATTATCTCTCTCAAATGTTTTACCATGGGAGCTCGTTGTACTAACATTGACAGCGAATGTACTCGCGCCTCCTCCACCACCTTCTGCTCAGGCTTGTCTCAACTCGTGGACTCGATACCACTCCATCCGGAATGATCTAACAACCGAATCGTACACAACCACGCTTACCTCGACTGAAATCTTTTCCGTGTACCCAGTTGTTCCAACTTCAACCTTCTGCGACAACATCCCTCGTCTAATGGGCCGCCAGTACAGCAATTACGTCACAGAATTTTATCCAACAGCAGCATATACCACGTGGCCGACCATGAGCAGTCCAACACCGACCTGCACAGTGAATGGAAATGATTGTGCCAAACTCCGGTCGAGCTGGACTTCGGTTTACACAACAGAAACCCCAATCCCAGACTTCCCGGTCCCATGCACGGCATACAAGGCCTGCTCTTCCGTTCCCTCCGGCCCATGTAGCTTAGTAGGGTCCAGTGTAAAGGTTTACTATTGGCCGACACCAGCAACTCAGCCACTCTGCCCTCAAACAAACACACTCATGTCAATCAGTCGTCCAACGCCAGAAGCAGCAAAGCCCAAGTCACGTGTAGTGAAGGTGATTGACGGACTTACGGTTACCTCGCCTTCCATCTACATATCAATCCCAACCTTATACGCGCAGCTCCGTGGTGTGCCGACATATCTATTCACTGGCTGCGGTACTCAACTAACGTCGCTTACACTATCAATTCCACCGTCACCTATCTCCACACTTACTAGACAGACGAGGGGAAGGAGACCCACATTCGAGAATCCGAAGCCTTTCGCGCTGAGCACGTTGAACTGGCCAGTTTCAGCGACAAAAGTCTGCTCGGAACGGACCGTTTGTGAATGGGACGATGTTATAAGCACTTGCAACGATGTACTTACCACCTCATGTGCGACACCAACGATTAACCCGTATAATTACAACCCAGCGCTCTCGTTGCCGACTGACTTGGTCAGCCTGGCTGCAAAGCAAGATGGTAGTTACCAGAGCTGTGTGGTATGTCTCATTGATACGCTGGAGATGGGGTATTGAAATAACATTCTCAGGTTCATCCTGCGGCTGGTGCCGATGTGACTTGGATCCCAATTACAACGCTTCTAGGTGATCCAAGGTATACTCAGGGATGGTCAAGTACTCCGACGATAACTCCAATTACTAATACGGCAGCACCTACGCCTGAAATCATTTCTACTTGATGATAGTGGACATGTCGGCGGTAGACAAGACTATTTAGCATTGTGTGGGGAAAGCAAGACAAAGCAATGATGTGTGCCCGCTCATCCAAGACCGGTTCGCGAGAAATCTCCTAATACCGAAATGACCAATGAAACCAATGAAATAATATACCATCCACGTGTCCATGCGAACTTGTCCTGATGAACACAGCAGCGGACACTAACACCCGAATACCCTAGGATAGGACGTGGTAGTTTTGGAGGAGGTTGCCTCGAGAGGCTATGGCGGCTATCTAAAGATGTTCAGTTTTAAGATAGAGGGGTTTTCTATGCTGATCTCACCTAAGTAGAATGGAATGATTTAGCACTAGGTCTTTAAGCCACTAGTTCTGGTTGTAGAGCAATGACCACTAGTACAGGGCTTGCAACAACTTAACCATGCTGTTTTAGGGAGTAAAGGACAGCTGGAAATGCAAGCAGCGTAAGCGACATCGCAAAACGCGTCTATATAGTATTAGCACTATTATACCTAGGTAGTAGTGTAAGCTAAGATGTTTAGTCTTACCTGTTGCTAGGTTTCCTGTATAAAGTATAGAAGATACTGCTAGTTGTATACTTGACGAAATGCATAGCTGTTGTGTAGTTGTGCGTGAACGTTATACAGGCTTCAGGTCTTTCAGTGATAACAATGGTTGTAAGGAGATAACTTTAAGAGTAGTGAATGGGAAAACGCAAGATTGGTTTGATAGTACGTGAAGACCATCATGATTCTCCTTTTTATAGTTATTTCTTCGTCGTTTACGGTTTTACCTATGCCCACTTCTAGTCAGGAGCAGTGATGGATAAATATTTCATTAGACATTGGATTCAGTAGCCAATAGAGAACATAATTCTACTGTAATGAATCAGAAGAAGTCCTGTTGCTAACAGCATCTATTCATTTAGTTGATAATGACTTTGGTATCTTGGTGGCTGCTGAACCTATTCTCTAAAAAAAATAACTTGCCCAAGTATGGTTAGAAGAGGGAGAATCTAGAAGCTCCTATAAGTTCAAATACATCGCTATAGGACCGACTGAACTAAACTTGAAACGTCCGTGGGTTGTCTGAGCGTTTAGTGAAAGTGTCTGAAGGATTCCCTAACTTAACTAGGAATTCCTTTATACTATCCTGCGCAGAAGATTAGCAGAACAATGATAATTTGTACAGTACTTATTCAAAAGTCTGGCCTCGCTAACCGAAACCCCACCATCATCAAAAGTTGACGCCCGTGCTGCTATCACCAATACCTCCACCAAAACTGCATATTTTTAAAATTTGAAAAATAGAATTAATTCTTCTATACTAGTATTTGGTTTGCCAGCCTCGTGCCTCGCGGCAGGCGCGGAGGCGTCGCGGCATTAACTTAATTAGTGCCTGTATTTGGCTGCTAGGTATTCTTCTCTAGCACTCTTTTAGCGCCTTACAAAAACTATCCCACTATTCCTAGGTTTTACTGTAATTACAGTATTGTGGATAGAAGCGATCTATATTTCGTTTAAGAACCTACTAGAGGTACTTAATAGGGTTAAGGTCTAGTAAATAAGCTGGCTAGCTAAGTAGTGTAATCTGATAGGAGGTAAGGAACTCGCGTACTCTATGGGAGGTGTGTATACGCGCGTTATTATACATAAAAATCTGCGAGGGCCGCTAGTAAGGTAGAAGACCTTATTTAAGGGTTTAGATATAACTTTGGCTACTATACCCACTATAGGAAGCATCTAGATCCCTTTCTATAATCATGAGAGGACTGCGTCGCCCCCGGCCGCGTTCATCCACCTATATAGCCCCCTACACTATCTACTATAGGCCCTAGCTAGGCAAAACCTCTATAATTATCCTGCGCTTCTATTTTTCTTCTAGATACTAAAAACACCACTCCTATATAGTACTAGATCCCTTCTAAACTAAGCACTTATCTAAGAACTTAACCGTGCGCTGGTGCTAAAGAAAGCTCTAGTATTAATATAAGAATCTATAGCGTTAACGAGCATGCTAGAGCTTTAACATTAGACGCTTTTTATAGCGGTATTTACTAAGATTGCGTTCTTTAAGGACTTAGTATAATATAGAGTGGCTAGAGAGCTTTAAAGGGGTCCTATTAGTATTAATAAATACTGCTTCTTAAGTAAGGTTTTTATATAGTATTTTTAGTAATTTTCGTGCCAGCCAATAGACGATCTTTATCTAATAGGGTGATATTATCTTTAGACGGCCAGAGCGAGGCTTATCATCTATAGTACTAGTGTAGTGAAATTTTTTGTATAGTTTTCTAATCGTGGAGGGGTCACGCCTAAAAACCTTATCTACCTCTCTAAAGCTTGCGCCGCCTCGTAACATCCCGACCGCGATATTACGCTTAGTAGTTGTCATATTTTAGCGACGGCGCACATTTTGAGATACCGCTTGGCCGAATTGGCGTGGTGTAGCGTTAGTGGTGGGCATTCAAAGAATGGGGCAAGGTTGGTGTTGGTGGGGCAGGGGAGCTTAGCGAGGCCAGACTTTTGACGAGTAGCTGTATTTTCATAGGGCTGAGCTCCTGAGATGATGATCAGCGTTCTGCCAGGGCCTCTGTCAAATGCAGGACCGGGATATCAGATCTGCCAGATCTACTGGATAACCACTGGGAATACTGATTTCGATTCTGGCTAGTACTAATTACAACATAGTCAGATCGGAATATACTTCACTAGTTTCGATCGAGGTAAGGCTGAGAAGGAACGGTGAAATCGATCGATCATGAAGAAGCTCTGAACGCATTGTCACAGATCAAATCGAATGATTAGTATATTTGCTACCAAAGCTAAAGAAATAGAAACTTGGAAAAGGACATGACTGTTTGGGAGTCAATAAATTGGGCACCAAAATTGCAGGATTATTAACATATCTTTGTATACCTTGAGTGAATTTCGAGTAATTCTCGTCATACTAGCCATCTTCAGTGATAAGTCTCGAAAATACTCCATCATCTATGGTGGTTTGAGAGTTATGGTGGCATTGCTGAGCCTCGCATGGGCGCAAGAATAAGCCTTCTGTTCATGCTTGTCTTGGACATCGAATCGGAAGCAGCCATAGTATCACTCACAAAATTGATTACAGTCTCTGCTGCCTACACGTTGAACGCAGCCACGCAACCACTGCATATCAATCTGCGGGCGCTACTCATGGATATCTGTCCGCCCCAACAGCAAGCTACAGTCAGCTTATGGATCACGAGACTTTCTGCAACTGGGTCTGTTCTTATTACTTCCATTGTCTTCTGTTTATCAACTTCGTTCAGTCTCCTTTCAGCAGTTTCCTGTACCGCACTCTTCTCGCTCCTTGCATTACACACATTAGGGGCTCGATACTATTACCGCATGATTGAAGAAAGGCAAGCTGGGAAGCTGGGTATGTGGGAAACTGGGTGCTTTGCTGCACGGCTGCGCTAACTCGTCAGCAAGGTCACTCATCTGCCTAACGTTAGCCGTCGAGTATGTCGCACCCGGCTATTTTCCTGGTTTGGTTGGTTCCCTGCATTTTTCACATAGGTAAGTACGTTCGCCGCTTCTTCTATGCGCTCTAAAGTTCTCATCCCATATCATTGTCTTGGCCACTTTGGGAAATTCCTTCGCAAACGTTGAAATGATGTTTTGCAGCGTAGTGTCCCAGTCATACACGCTAGATGCTTTCAGATATTATTTCTTACCAACAAAACGAATATTTTAACAAGCCGAAGCTCGGTATGAGATCCGGATTCCGAAGCTAAGAGAAAACCCGGTTGACAAACTCTGCTGCTGACTACCTCATGGCATCTGTGGCGTGCTGGAAAAGAAAACTAGCAAGCTATATTGGGAAAAGGTACCCGACATGGCCTAATAGAGGAACTGCAGAATTGAAACGCTTCGTGGTTAAAAAATTTCATGATAGCCTCCCTGGCCAAATCCACGTTGCAAAGGCAGGGAAGCCAGCGATTGCTTAAAGCATGATATCGGCATTCGCACTTCATAACCTCCTTCGTGGAAGTTCCTCAAGACATTGGCAGATGCTGAGCTGTAATCAATGTTGAGCCGTGTATTGCGAGGAATGTCGGAAGAATCGTTGCTGCTCCGATTGCGGCTATTGTAGCCAACAGTAAACTCGCAGTGCACGGCCACCACCAAATAGATATTTTTTTGAGAACTGCTGTAGAAGAAGCTGTTCCAATCGCGTCTCAGTTTCATCGATTTCGTCATTGCTTACTTCTGAGTAACGATGCGATGTTCGAATATGGCTTGCTAATCACAAAAAGAAGCCGACAGAGGTTGTGCTTAGGCTGTGATGGGGTATGATCCATTTTTGAACTCTACCGATGTTGCAGAACTTTCAGCCTCTGAAGAAGGCAACGATTTCAACATCTAGCTGAGAAGCGATTTGACAAATAGCCGTGGACATCCCGGTCCGCCCCGGTCGCTTTTGCGATAAGATGGGTTCTGTCGGAAACCACAGGGCCAGAATTTGTGTTCGGGGTTTAGACGATGTCTGGACGATCTACTCAGAAATGGAGATCCGATAGGGTATGGAGCTTTTCACTTGTGCAACAAACAAGCAACCTGGATGAAAGACATCTCAAGTGTTCAAGAACTCACGAACTCTGTGAGCAATTTCTTATATTTTTTAATCTTTGTGCACCTACTCTATAACTCTACGACCTAAAGCACTAGATACGCATGTAAATGATGGTTTGGTATAAATAAACGTTGTCAAGTGACTCTGATGTCTTCAACAACATATCCACCCTAAGAAGAATGCTTGGAGAGAACCCCAGCTATTTAGCCGAATATGATTTTGGAAATTTCTTCTATTTGAGCGAAAACTAGATTATTGCTTTCTCGTCAGAATCGACTTTGCTAAGATGTAATGCTCAACATCAGTCTTATGCCCCCTAACTAAGCTTCATACCACATCTCGCTGGCATCACCCGTTGAGTGTATGGATGAGTATCAAAATGCGAATTGCTTGCCTGCCTGGAACTCCAAGATTGGGCAACGGAAAAAAGCCTAGACGATTATCTAAATTCACCGGTACCTCCGACGGATTTAAGTTGTTTGTTTCGACTACTGAAGTGAACCCGATTGGTTCCGTGTAGCCGAGAGCAGATGTCAATCCGATATTTGAAATTGCAAGAGTGACAAAGCATTTTGAGCAAGGAAGTTGCAAGTTTGTGGACCATTAGCTTCCAGTGTCACTAGATATACTTATTTTTCGCTGATATACCTTTCCAGAAGGAAGAATTCACCAATGACGGATCATCGCAGACATCGCTTCACATCATGCAGCATGCAAATCTTGAAGAAGCACCACTATTGCGACCAAAAACACCAATATCGAGTCAGGTCCTCGTCACACGCATGTTTTCAAGGCAGGTCTGATGATGGCAATCCCTGATCAATATCCTACAAACTGCCTTCTTTCTCAGTGCTACAGTGTGCATGTGGGTTATGGCGTTTCAATTGCTCCGGGATTTACTAGTCTCAAACCAAACGCATACTTCTTCTACAGGAGAATCTAGGAGATTGATCAGTTCGGGACTTGGAGAAGAGGGCCATACAATGGCCGAAGAGATATCAAGCTCGGTGCCTAGACGTATGTACAAAAGGCCTGTTTCTGTATGTATCGATGCCACAGATTGGATCTGATACCTTGCAGTTGATACTCAGCTTTGAATCTTTTGCATTGAACACAAGTTCCAGATTCAAGACTCTCAAAATGCAACCCATGCAGAAGAAGTGTCGCTGCGCAAAGGATGGGCAATCATTGTACCTAGTACTTTAATAAGCGGCCAATACTGCCGAACATAAGACAATAATGGTTTTGTAAAAGAAGGCAACGGTTTGATCACAGTTGAAAAGCTAAATGCTCCAGTCTTGCCACCGGCAACCAATCGCCCAGCCGACTCTAATATGCACCACTTCTGCCTTACTACATATATTCTGTCAACTATACAGTTTGATTATTTCCATGTACATATCATAGTAATATCTTCACGAAAGAAACTAATTCGCCTTGCCAGCGATCAATTCAAGAAGCATTTGACGAATTCATCAGGAAACCTAGCACCGAACCAAAGTTGGGATATTTTAACTATTGCGTTGGATATCTACGGGAAGGCATCTTATATTATGGTGACACAGCGTTAGGAGGGCAGAGCATGTTCAGCTCGGAAAAAAGAGCGAATCAGGTTTGTAAGATTTCTGAAAAATCTTACATTGGTGCTTCTCTCATGGTATGTCAGCAAATTCAAAACGTGGTCGACGCTGTGGATATGGCAGAGCGTTCTCCGAAGGGTAAACACATTCAAGAACTCGCAGTGAAGGGAAATGCCGTAGAAGAAGACATGTATACTCGTGAGATGTGAACACCGCATGAATACCTGGAACACGAGACACAATGCTAGTGGCAGATGCTTTGATAGCCTTGAGACCTAGATAATTGATTAATGCTATGTTAATAGCATAGAAACGAAATGAATGGATACGCTACTCTAGTTGTTCACAAACCGATTATGTGTTTCAACGATCTATCTGCGTGTGGAGAAGTGAGGCTCTACTGTTAAGCTGAGTTGAGCCAGCCCCCTGAATATCGCAGCAACAGCCAACAGCTGGAGCGATAACCAACGCATTCTTGTTACTGATAAATATATATCAGAAGTGCGGACGAGCAAATCTTCCTCTTGGGTTGCTTTTAGACTAAGTCCTAGGGGCCTGCCATATTTCCCTGATTTTTCAAACTATGATGATTGAATCAAATAATCGTAAAAGTCATATTCATTCCAGCACGCTCGCATTTAATTGTCAAAAACAGAGCCATCTGCTGGATCAGGTAATTTATGCTGCTCTTGGCCTTCCCGCCTGCACCGACCGGGAAATATTCTATTTCCAGAAACTCGGAAAGACCGATCTTGATCAAATTAAGCTCTATATAGGCAAGCATATCTATACTAGTGATGCTTACTCCGGTTGGCACAGATCGGGGAGGTTCGCGCAAGTTGAAGATATCTTCCTTCTGAGTTGCCGCTTCCTAGTTCTACCCGATGCCGAACTAGCATCGCAATTAGGCTCTGCCCAAGTTTTTACGCGTGTCTTGAACGAACATGTAGGCACTGTACATAGCGGATACGTAGTTCGCATCTTACAGCGCTCACCTCGCAGTAGCTGCAAGCGAATTTCTTTCAATGACACGACATCCCCTCCTAATACCGCTCTATCGCTCACCTGGGCTGCCAACATACGTCTACGTCTTATGCATAGCTATTGGATATTGTTGTGCGAAAGAAGGCTGGTAACACTAAGGCTCTCTAAGTAGGGTAACGCCAGCCCGAACCTTCAACAACGTTCAAATCCTGTGGCCGCAAAATCGCCCAATGTCAAAGGTCACACCGCCGATCCTTGTTGCATAGGTCAATGAATTACTCTGCTAAACTTTTGCACTATAACAGTTCTGGTGCGTGGCTCCATGGGCTCATTTTTACCGAGTGCTATTATTACGATTTTGCGCGCATCGTGCGCAGTTCGTGCACGGACACAGTACCTTGCCGCGTCTTGACGGGATTTCGGCTGCGGAGACCCCATGTCCTTTAATCTCCATATGGCAGTGGATCATCCCATGTAATCTGCTGCTTCATCTAGAGGGAGATCGTGCCTTGATTGTGGTTGGTGCAAAATAGACATTTGCGCTACTAGCTCGGGCCCTCATTGAGATGTCAAGCTTTTCCCCGCTATTTAGCCTTTAATCCTTAACCACCCCGGCCTTGCTACGTCACTGCCATTGGCGGATTCTCTCAGTGGTTTGCAAGTGTCCCGATTGCGGTCATGTTTACCGTAACGCAATATAGCTATGGGCAAGGTAACCTTACATATAGGAAACGATCCACATGTTTCTGCAACAAATTACCACCAATGGTCTCAATCTTTGTATGCGATCGCGTCTCCTATTCGTGTAGAAGATCGGTAGTTCTATCAATCGTATATATATGAATTTCGAATTGCTGTTGCGAAATCACTAAAGACTTATTGTATAAAGAATGGAATTCCAGGCTCCTATGAAAGACGTTATCTGCCGCACACTTTCGTTACCACCTTTGACAATAGCACTGCGCCATGCTCCTCAAGGCTACCTTTGCTGGATACCTCTCGGTAGTGGTACCAATCTTTGCCCAGACCATACCGACTGTCGTTGTACCGGAAGTAGGAACCTCCGCCCATGCATTCGACTTAAGCCAGGTTGCGTTGAGCAACAGCCGCTGGAAGGATAATGAGAATCGGACCCTCAACTACCTTAAGTTTGTCAATGTCGACCGACTACTCTACAACTTCCGAGCGACCCACAAGCTCTCTACGAATGGCGCGCAGCCGAACGGTGGATGGGATGCGCCCAACTTTCCTTTCCGTTCTCACGTCCAAGGTCACTATCTCACGGCGTGGGTTAATTGCTACGCGACCTTGCGTGACAGCACGTGTAAAGACCGCGCTGCATATTTCGTTCAGGAACTCGCCAAATGCCAGGCCAACAATGGTGTGGCCGGGTTCAGCCCGGGGTATCTGTCCGGCTTCCCCGAATCAGAATTCGCTGCTCTTGAAGCTGGCAAGTTGACGGGTGGCAATGTCCCATACTATGCTGTACACAAGACAATGGCTGGCCTACTCGATGCGTGGCGTATCATTGGCGATCAAAAAGCTCGTGATGTCTTGCTGGCGCTTGCAGGTTGGGTAGACGGACGGACCAAAAAGCTGAGTACTGCTCAGATGCAAACAATGCTAGGAACAGAGTTTGGCGGCATGAACGATGTCCTCGCAGAGATTTACCAACTTACCGGAAATAAGCAGTGGCTCACCGTAGCCCAACGTTTCGATCACGCAAAAGTATTCGACCCGCTTGCAAACAAACAGGATCAGCTCAGTGGTAATCACGCAAATACTCAAGTGCCAAAATGGATCGGTGCAGCTAGGGAATACAAATCCACTGGTACTAAGCGCTACCTTGATATTGCGAGAAATGCTTGGGATTTTACCATCAACGCACATACATACGCAATCGGTGGTAACAGTCAAGCGGAGCATTTCCGCCCACCTAACCAGATCTCCAACTTCTTGACGAACGACACTGCTGAGCAATGCAACACTTACAACATGCTCAAGCTCACTCGGGATCTATGGACAACAGATCCCACCAGTACGAAGTACTTCGATTATTACGAACGTGCTCTCATCAATCACCTTCTCGGCGCTCAGAATGCAGCAGACAACCATGGCCACATAACCTACTTTACTCCACTCAGGAGTGGCGGACGCCGAGGAGTCGGACCAGCATGGGGTGGAGGTACATGGAGCACTGACTACAACTCTTTTTGGTGCTGCCAAGGTAAGTTTGATTTCTTCTCCACATACTCCATGTGAAACTTAATTGAACATTGGCTAAATCCATTCACCAATAAGGTACGGCTCTAGAGACCAATACCAAGCTCATGGACTCCATTTACTTCTATGATAACTCGGCACTCTACGTGAATCTTTTCACGCCTTCGACGCTAGACTGGAAGCAGCGCAACGTCAAGATCACACAAGTAACCACTTTTCCTATTGGTGACACAACTACATTGAAAGTCACTGGCACTGGCAACTGGGCTATGAAGATCCGCATCCCTTCATGGACATCTGGAGCAACGATCAGCCTGAATGGTCAAGCATCTGGGGTTGCTGCCAACCCAGGGAGCTATGCGACACTGTCACGAAACTGGGTCTCCGGTGATACGGTTACAGTGAAGCTACCGATGAAGCTGCGCACCGTAGCTGCCAACGACAACGCAAACATCGCAGCTATCGCCTACGGCCCGACAATTCTGAGCGGTAACTATGGACAACAATCACTCAGTTCAATGCCATCGCTAGCTTTGAACTCTGTTCGCCGCACAAATAGCAACAGCCTGGCATTTACGGGGACTGCCAATGGTAAGGCTGTAGATATTGGTCCATTTTACGATGCGCATAACATCAATTACAATGTCTACTGGACGGTTACTGGGCAGTTCGCGACCTAGACCGCACTTACTACGAACAACGTTGTCTCCAGTAAGCGATTACTATTCAAGTGTAGCCAGCTTTTCGTCACAACAGTTCCCAACCTATTTTTCTACGTCGCTCAACATCTTTGTCTACATATTCAGATTAAACAAAAATATATCTTTAGGATCATCAGAAAACGTGCCAATCCCTTCAAGATCCATATACATCGACACACTAGTGATCAATTGAACAAAAACATGCGATGCGCATCCTACAAAAACCCATATAGATGTAGATGTAGGTTTAAAAGACTATTATCGAGTGTTCGAAGCGTTCTGTTCATAGTTTAGGCTTAACGTGATGGATAAGCGAGTCGCGCAGGCAAGCGAGTCGCGCACCTCACCAACTTTCTTACTCTATTACACTTGCCTTTATCATGGCTCCACGCCACGTTATTCAATTACTCTCAAATGAATCAGATATTCAGCTTGCTATACAATCTCTTGATTCTAATCAAATTCAAACAGGCCGCCGCGCAGCTTCAATCTTTAACGTGCCTGAATCAACGTTACGCGATCGACGCGCTGGGAAGCGCGCGAGACGCGATTGCCAGCCCAACTCAAAAAAGCTTACTCAGATAGAAGAGGAGGTGATTATAAGCCATATACTTGATCTAGATCAGCGTGGATTTGCGCCTACCTACGCTGCCGTACGTGATATGGCTGATAAGCTACTAGCTGCACGTGGTGCTGGCCACGTTGGGCAGAAGTGGCCAGCCAACTTCATTAGGCGTACAGGCTCTCTTACAACGCGTTTTAATCGATCGTACGATAGGCAGAGAGCTCTATGTGAAGATCCAGCCCTAATTAAGAGCTGGTTTGAGCTTGTGGAGCAGACAAAGGCCAAGTACGGCATCTGCGACGAAGACGTCT